ATCTTGGGGCCGGTTCCTTCCCCAGCATTCGGGGTGCCTTTGGCAGAAACCTTTTCATCACAAAGCGAGGATTAAGTTGCTTTCTTGGCCCTTCTAATTAACTCTTGTAACCAACAGGCCGTGCCGTGTCTCTGTGATGTTCCTGCGTCTTCTGTCGCCTCCTGGCTTGGCGAGGAAGAGGAACAGCCTAGCCCGTGATGTTGCTCGTTTGCGTGAAAATCCCAGTGACTGTCTTTTTCCTATCACACTTCTAGCTGCCAGCTGCCTTTTAAGTGGCTCCAAGCTCCCCTTCCGTGAGGTGTCTGGCTGCGAGATGTTTACAGAGGAGTCTGGGCCAGGGGAGCCGCCGCAGCCCCCACGCAGCGTCCTTTCGTGAGCGCACGTCTGGGGCGAGGCCCTGCCTGGTTCAGCACAGCAGCAGCCTCCAGGCCGCCCCCGGACACTGACTCGGTTTGCTGCACATGCTTTCTTTTAAGGGACTCGGAGACAGTGCCAAGCTGTGCTGCCATGTAACTTTGAAAACCATCTTAAAACAGAACATGGCAAGGCAGTTCCTTGAAAAAATTTTTTTAGTGTGTTTTCTCCAGTTTTTAAATTAGAACAAGCTTCGTGAGAGGAAATTGGGAAAAAGTAGAATTGAAAAGGGAAGAAAAGTCACTCCTGGTCCTCTGCCCTGGGGACAACCACGCTCATCCGTTTCATGTCTCACTTTTTTCCTGTTCTTTAGGGATTTTTAATATAATCTGGTGATTCGGGATGTGTGGTCTTGTGTCTTTTTTATTCAACATTTTGACCTCAGCTTTCCCCGTGTATTACAAACTCGTTGTGACTTGTTTCAGTGGCTTCAATCACCCCGTGAATTTTTGTCCTACAGTTTGTTAAACGCTTATGGTTCCAATTTTTTCCCTATTTATAAAAAACGCCTTGATGAACATTTTCATGTATTTAGGTTTCTTTCCTTGTTTGAATTCCCAGAAATGGGATTCTTTTGTCAAAGGCAAGGAGTACTTTCATGGCTCTTCATCCGTGTCACCAAACTGCCTTCCCAAAGGGCCAATATATATTTTTTTCCCCAGATTTTTCTTTTATTGTGGTAAAATATGCATAACATAAAATTTACCATCTTAACCATTTTTAAGTATATGGTTCACTGGTGTTAAGTACCTTCACATTGCTGTGCAATCATCACCACCATCCATCCACACAACTTTCTCATCTTCCTAAACTGAAACTCTGTCTCCATTAAATGCTGACTCCCTATTCCCCCTCCCCCAGCCCCTGGTAGCCTCTATTCTCCTTTCTGTCTCTATGAATTTGACGACTCTAGGGACCTCATATAAATGGAATCACACAGTATTTGTCTTTCATGATGGGCTTATTTCTCTTAGTATAAAGTCCTCAGGGTTCATCCATGGTGCAGCAGGTGTCAAAATTTCCTTCCTTTTAAACACTGAATAATATTCCACTGCGTGGATAGACCACATTTTGCTTATCCATCATCTGTTGATGGACACTTGGGTTGCTTCCACGTTTTGGCTATTGGGAATAATATTGCCATGGACATGTGTGTACACAAGTATCTCTTAAAGACCCTGTTTTCAGTTATTTGGGATATATTACTCAGAAGTGGAATTGCTGGATCATGTGGTAATTCTATTTTTAATTTTTGAGGAACCGCCAAACTATTTTTCATAGCAAATGCACCATTTTACATTTCCACCGGCAGCAGCACACAAGGGTTTCAATTTCTCCACATCCTCTCCAACACTTGTTATTATCTGTTTTTTTTTTTAATAATAGCCATCCTAATGGATATGAGGTCCAGTTTTTTAAAATATATATAACTGCTGTATGGAGATATAGTTCACCATACAATTCACCCATTTAAAGTGTATAGTTCAGTGGTTTTTAGAATATTCGTGGAGTTGTATACCCATCACCACTATCTGTTTTTGAACATTTTCATCACCCCTGAAGAAACCCTGTATCCATTAGTAGCCCCCCAGTCTCCACCCCACCCGCCAGACCCTGACAACCCTCATCTACTTTCTGTCTTGATGGATTCGCCTATTCAGGACATTTCATATAAGTGGAATCATACAATATGTAGTCTTGCCTGATTAGCTTCTTTATCATAATGTTTTCAAAGTTCGTCCACGTTGTAGCATGTATCAGTACTTCATTCCTTTTTATTGCCAAATAGTATTCCATTGTGTGATCTACCACATTTTAATTATTCATTCATCAGTTGATGAACACTTGAGTTGTTTCCGCTCTTTGGCTCTTCTGAGTCATGCTGTGGTGAACACCGTGGACGAGTTCTTGTGTGGACATATGTTTTCATTTCGCTTGAGCATCTGCCTAGGAGTGGGACGGCTGAGTCATGTGGTGACTCTGTGTTTAACATTTTGAGGAACTGCCAGACTGTTTTCTAGAACAGCTGCCCCATTTTACATTCCCACCAGCAGCATATGAGGTTCCAATTTCTCCACATCCTCCTCAACACTTGTCATTATCTCTGTTTTTGATTATATCCATCTTAGAGGAGTGAAGTGGTATCTCACTGGGGTTTTGGTTTGTGTTTCCCTGATGGCTGATGATGTTGAGCCTCTTCTCATGTGCTTGTTGGCCATCTGTATATCTTCTTTGGAGAAATGTCTAGTTAGATCGTTTGCCCATTTTTTATATAAATAATTTTAAAATTTTTTATTTATATAAATAAATAATTCGGTTATTTGTCTTTTTATTATTGAGTTGTAAGACTTCTTTATATAGTTTAGATAAATCCCTTATGAGATATGTGATTTGCAAATATTTCCTCCCATTCTGTGGGTTGGCTTTTCATTTTCTCCACGGTGTCTTTAGAAGCAGAAAAGTTGTTGATTTTGATGAAGTCCAGTTTATGTATTTTTTTCTTTTGTCACTTGTGTTTTTGGTGTCACATCTAAGAAGGCTTTGCCTCACCAGGTCATGAAGATTTACTCCTGTGTTTTCCTCTAAGAGTGTTATAGTTTTAGCTCTTACACAGGGCCCAGATGTTTAAACAGAGGAGTAAAGTGATTTCTCTTCAGCGGTGAGGAAGACTGGACAGGGATGCAGGTGACAGCAGCAGGCAGGCCTCCTGGGGCGTCTGGGACCAGGGGCAGAGGGTCAGAGAGAAGACGGCAGCCCCGGGAAGGGGGAGTAGGCGTGTTCTCTGCTGCTCTGGGGAATGCGAGTCTCCTGCTAATGGTAGAACTTACCAGAACGGCTCCCTCAGTTGGTCATTCATTCATTCATATGTGCATCAACACTGGTGAATGGCTACTGGGTGTCAGGCACTTGGTAGGCGCTGGGGTGGCAAAGTTTAAAAAAGAAAAGCCAGGTGCTGGTCTGAGGAGCTCCATCCAGCGTGGGATGTGGGTCGATGAGCAGTAATTCTCTGGTGATGGGGTGAGTGGGGCGAGATGGGGTATAGAGTACTCAGTGTGATGCTCAGGTATTATGTTGTACCGAGGAGGCCCCTCCCCTAGCTGGGGGAGGACTTGGGGATGGGGGTCAGCTAAAGGAAAGCTTCCGTGAGGAGGGGCACCTGAGTGGAGTCAGGAGGTGAGTGAGGGGGTGGGTGGTGGCATCTCGGGCAGGGAGGAATCGCCTTTCCAAGGTAGCCCTCGACTTCCTTCCTGTTGTTGCCGTCATTCATGCCCTCAGTCTGGAAGTCCAGTGCGTCCTCAGTGGGGCTGTGGGAGGCAGCAGCTCCCCCGCTCTCCCAGCCCAGCCTCCCTCCCCCGCGCCCCTCCCCAGAAGCAGCTGCTCCCCACTCTCAGGGCTGTTGCTGTCCCATGGCCTTGGATCTCCCAGCCGTGTGCTTGCGCTGCCTCTCTTGGTTTTTCTGTTCACCCTCTGAGGGCAGGTGAGGACTTAGGGGTCCTCCCCTCTCCACCGCCCAGCTCCCCTCCCACAGCCCCCTTGGCATCCCGGCCCCCAGTGCAGCTCTGAGTAATTGTGGTGGATCTGGGCTCCTGGTCGTGGGCGCTCCTGGGCGTGATGGCGGCAGCTGGGTGAAGAGGAGGGCGGGGCGGGTGTCTGATACTTGAAGATCCCCCCATCTTGACAGCGTGGGGGACAGGAGTGGGGCTAAAGCCGCTGGAGGGGAGAGGCCACTGGGGGCGGGGGGAATGAGCAGAGAGGGCCGAGGAGGGGACCCCTAGGGTGGGCAGGGAGGAGGACCCCAGGAGCAAGACCCAGGAGGGAGGCCTGCATGGAGGCCTGGGGGAGGGGGCTTCCAACATCGTGGAATGACCAATGACCCAGGAAGTAAGGCAAGGTGGGTCCCTGGCTGTGGCCACGAGGGGCTGTTGGTGAGGTGGCTTTGCAGGGGCAGTTTCTGTGGAGTGGCCCAGAGAAGGTGAATTGCAATGGACTGAGGGTTAAGTTGGGAGATGAGGCTGTGGGGCAGCAGATATAGACTTCTCTTGAGAAATTTGGATCAGAAGGGAAGTTAGATGGAAGTGGGAGGAACAGAGGGCTGCAGGGAGGACTGTGTTAGGGTTAGGGGGCTTTGGAACGGGGATGTCTCCAGACTCCAGGGGTCTGAAGTCACTGGGAGGAAATGAGGCCAAAAGGCACAGGTGGAAAGGTCGGCATTGTTGGGGGGTAGTAAAATAAACAACTTTCTAATGGTAGAGCAGTCTTCTTCAGGATGTGGCAAGGTCCTATTGCTGGAGATATTTGAGCAAAAAGAGATGGCTGCCTGTCAGGGGTGTTATGATGCAGATTCCTGTGCAGGGAGGCAAGTTGACATAGATAAGGAATGGCAAATACCTAGGAAGCATGCTGGCGTTGTCCTCTCTGGTGCCCCTGACAGACATCACTAATCCCTCGTGACACTCCCAGCACAGTGCTCCAGACAGCCTCTATCCATCCAAGGTAGTTTATGCAGCACAGTGGCTCTGCTTTCTCTAGACCAGGATTCTGACTCTTCCTTCCCTTCTGTGAAATGGGTCTGTGTCTTCCTGCAGGGAAAGCGTATGAGATCACCTACGTGAGGCTGAAGTTCCACACCAGTCGCCCCGAGAGCTTCGCCATCTACAAGCGTAGCCGCGCCAGCGGCCCGTGGGAGCCCTACCAGTACTACAGCGCCTCCTGCTGGAAGACCTACGGCAGGCCCGAGGGCCAGTACCTGCGGCCCGGCGAGGACGAGCGCGTGGCCTTCTGCACCTCCGAGTTCAGTGACATCTCCCCGCTGAGCGGGGGCAACGTGGCCTTCTCCACCCTGGAGGGCCGGCCCAGCGCCTACAACTTTGAGGAGAGTCCCGTGCTGCAGGTCAGAGAGGAGCGGGGCCTGGGGGCCCAGGGCTGGGCTGCAGGCGGGACACCCGGGTCGGGGACCACAGGAAAGTCTCAAGTGGCGGGACACAGAGGGCCCTATGAGATCCCATGGTTTTCGGATTTTAAACAACAGAAGCCCTCGTTGTGTCTCCATCTTTTGTGGATGCTGATAATGAAGTAGATGGAGGAGGGGCTCCGTCAAGCAGAAGAGTCCCTCCCCTCGCCTTCCACGGCAGAGCCCTGTGGCTCCCAGGAGCCTGTGACCACCACCAACTCGCCTGACCCCTTCCTTATGTGGGTGGGGAAACTGAGGCCTGGAGCGGGAAGGGGTTTTCCAGGGACACCCATGGACTGTGGAAGGGCCCAAAGCAGACCCTGAGCATCCTGACTCCCGGCTGGTGCTCCTTCTAGAACCCCCGCTGCGGGCCTCACTTCCTCCCTCTGTGAACCAGTAAGGTCGCCTGCCTTGTGTGTCCCCAAAGGCTTGTACGAGGACAAAATGGAAAACGTAAAAAGAACATAAGTTTTGGAATCACGGAGTCCTAAATTCTGTGCTGTTAGGCAGCACTACCCAGCAGAACTTTCTGCAGGGACACAAATGACCTCTAGCCGCACTGTCCAGGAGGGCAGCCGCTAGCCACACGTGTCTGTAGCACGCTTGAAATGTGACTAGCGTGACTGGGGAACAGAATTTTAGATTTTATTTCATTTTAACGAATTTTAATTTAAAAGCCACATGTGGCTACCACATGGACAGTCTGCCACATTGGACGGTCAGCTAACAAGTGACCAACACAGGGCTTGGCATATGAGAGTGCTCATTCACGCTCTGAAGATAAGAGTTCACAGTGGCTCACGTTCTCGTCCTCGTGGCAGAGAGAGCAGCGGGCCTGTGGCTCTGTCCATCCATACAGGCCCCCTGTCCAGCCCAGCTGCATCTGCTCAGGTGTGTGGCCCCTACTGTTAAGGGCACCCACGCCTGTCCGCATTCCTCTCTGTCAGTGACCGTTCATCTGCAGACGCGGTGGCTGCTTCATGTTTCTGGGCATTGGACGGCCCTCTAGTCCACTTCCCTGGGTTCAGATGGGCCTCTGCTGAGAAACACTGCCGTCTCCTTCCCCTGACGTGTTCAGAGCATTTCCTCTGCCTGTCTGGGGTAACGGGGGGCTGGGCTTAGAATCCTGTTTGTTTCCAGAGGGGACACTCAGGCCCAGAAAGAAGTTATGTCCTGCCTGGGCTGCCCAGCACAAGAAGACATGGGGTCAGCTGGGTTGCGGTCTCCAAGACCACTCTCAGGTTCAGTGATTCACTTGAGGAACTCAGAATTCAGAAAAGCCGCTATACTCATGGTGACAGTTTATTACAGTGAAAGGATACAGACTGACACCAGAGAAGAGGTGCCTGGGGCGGGTCCAGGAGAGACCAGGTGCAAGTGTCCAGCTGTCCTCTCCAAGGGGAGTGGTGGGGACAGCCCTTATGTCTCCCAGCTATGATGTGTGACAACACGCACAGTGTACTGCCAACCAGGGAAGCTCTCCTGCACCTCAGGGTTTTTATTGGGGTCAGCCACAGAGACACAGCTGGCTGCCTATGTGGCTGCCCTTAATCTCCAGCCCCCCAGGGGTCAAGCTGATCGCGTGTGTCCAATGCCCTCTCCGTAAATTACGTTGTTAGCATAGACTGTCTGGGGGGCCCAAGACCCCAGGTGAACAAAGACACTGTTATTGAGCAGGACATTTGAAGGGCTTAGAGGTGACCTCCCAGAGCGGGGGGCAAAGGCCAGACCTCTCTTTGGGCGAAGTTAATCCTTTATGGTGCAGAATCACATCTCCAGACGCCCCGGCCCTGCTCGTCCCATTAGAAATGCTCACATGTCATCATCGTGATTCTGTTCAAAATGACAGTTTCTCCTCCACGGGGCTCCAAGCTCTGCGGATTAGAAGCTTCTCCAGGGTCACTTGAAGACAAGCAGAAGGGCCGGCCCTGCTCCACCTGTGTCTGTGCCGCCATCACCTGGGCAGAGGCTTAAGCCGAGACCCTCGGCAGCGAGGTTCCCTGACTTGTTGCCTCATGTGTCCTGGACGTTGTCCCTGATGGAGAGGCAGCCTTTTCAGAAATGCCCCTGCTGCTCCCAGGCAGAAGCCAAGGTCAGAGAAGGACAAGGAAAGGCAAGCCCCCTGCCCTTCTCTCCTGTCCTCCCCTCAGGGCACATCCAGGGTGGTGCTTCCCTGGGGACATAGAGCACTGGGAGGTAACGAAGGATGTGTCCTTATGGCTGCTGGGTCTTGGGTCCCTCTGTCCCCCGTGAGGGGCCCAGGCCCTTGGAGAAGAAGGCAGAGTTGGGCCCCAGAGCTGAGTGGCGGCCGGAGCAGCTCCACTCCCGAGGGCTGGCTGGAGCCGAGCTCACCGTCTCCCGCTTCCGCTTAAGGCCGCATCTGGACCTGGGGTCCAAAACCAACCCGAGAGCCCGCTCGTAGTTTTAGCTGGGGCCATTACAAGTTCCAAAGCCCATTGCCTGTGTACACTGGGACTCCGGTTTGCCCTAAAATCACCTTTAGGGCTTCAGAGAGCGCCCCATACAATTTGGGCTAAGGGAGCAAATCCCCCTTCTCTCTCCCAGCTCCCATCCTGTGTCTCAGCGAGACTGTGATGCTGTTCCTGTTGTCTTCACAGACTGATGGAGGAGGTCATGGGCCACAGAGCAGATGCAGCAGCCCAGAGGAGGGTCACTGGGGGCCGGACCTTGGGCAGGTCATTGCCCTCTGGGCCCCACCAGCCAGTATGATGAGGGTGCTGGGGTAGACGCAGGAAGGAGGCTACCTAGTGGTTAAAGCTGGGCCCCTGGGGTCAGATAGACCCGAATCCCAGCTCTGCCATGCACCAGCTATGCAACTTGGAGCAGAGTCCTTACCCTCGCTGAGCCTCAGTCCACTCATCTGTAAACCAGGGGTAATAAAAGTACCCACGCGTGGCGTTATTGTGAGGACCTGAGCCATAACTGCAGTGTCGGCTGCAGTGCCTTCCGCCTCCCACATCAACTCGTTTGAGTTCTCCAAGTGGCACGTTTTCTGGAGGAGGAAAAGAGTCTCAGCGCCTTCTGCTGTGCACTGCTGGCTTTCCCACCCCCGGCCTTAGCTCCTTGCTCCTCAGCAGCATCAGCACCAGCTGGGCGCTTGTTGGAAATGCAGAGTCTTAGGCCCACCCCAGACCTCACAATCAGAAGCTGCGTTTTCTCCAGATCCCGGAACGCACACCAACGTTGGGAAGTGATGCGGGGAGTAACAGGGGCTCACACACTCGCTGAGTGCTGACGTTCCCACTGAAGTTTGCTGGTGCTGGACCCCTCCTCCCGGCTGAAGCGTCCTCGGGCAGAGGCCCTGGGTCCCGGGCAACGGGCTGGTGAGCTGCTGAGCTCAGGGGCAGCAGGAGAGGCCCTCTGGCCTGAATCACGCTGGGGCGAGAAGAGACTTTGCCAGGAGTTCATTTTCTGTCCTAATGGGCCTGATTGCTAACCAGGAGCTCCTGGGCTGAATTAAAATGCTGATTAAAATTCAGCAGAGCGACCTCTGATTATAACAGCAGGCAGATGGAAATGTCAGCCTTCACGTGGGTTCTCCCCACCGGCTCTTCCAAGGGGAAGCTGCTCATTCAGCCATCAGCCAGTATTTATCGAGCGCCTGATACACGTCAGGCAGAGCCCCAGGGCTGGGGATGCAGCGAGCATGAGGGGCCCATGTTCTGGTGGGACAGATGTCACCTGGGGCGGGTGACTTGTCTGTGGGAGCCTGAGCCCGTGAGAAGCCTAGAAACCTAGGGCCTGCGCCACGCCAGGCCCAGCTGAGCAGGGCAGAAGGGCACTGGGACGCATCCTCCCTCAGCTGACGTCTAGATTGGGGGCGCAGGAGCTGCTGGGAGAAGTCAGGTGACCTGCGTGACAGGGTTTTAGATGGGCTGCTGCAGCCCTGCCCCAGCACCTCCACCACTACCAAGCATGTGCCAGACCCCACGCCCCTCTGCTGACATTGGCCAGCCTCCTCCCAACACCCTCGTGGGGTCAGCACTGTTGCTTGTCCCATTTCACAGATGGGGAAATGGAGGCCCCAAGACATTGAGCAACTTCCCCTAAGTTGCACAGCCAGTAAGTGGCCTGGCTCCCAGGTTGGTGTGACCCCAAAGCACAGGCTCCTTATTTCTACCGTGTTCTTGGAATTTGTCGGGGCTTGGCCTGTCCCTGTGTCCCAGGAGACCCCAGGGCAGCCAGCAGGACGCTCCAGCAGAGCGGTGGGGAGCAGATACTCAGGGACCTGCTGATGGCATCCTGTCCTCTCCTTTGTCCTCCCACGCCCCCAGGAGTGGGTCACCAGCACTGAGCTCCTCGTCTCCCTGGACCGGCTCAACACTTTTGGGGATGACATCTTCAAGGACCCCAAGGTGCTGCAGTCCTACTACTATGCCGTGTCTGACTTCTCTGTGGGCGGCAGGTAGGCAGACGGCAGGGCGGTGGGGCCCGGGACCCCAGACCCTGGTCCTGGGGCAGAAGGTGGCTGCCACGTGGGAGTCACCCGGTGGCTGCTGTGGAGGGGTGAAGAAGCCACTTCCGGTGCCCCAGGGGAGAAAGAGGGAGCAGGATCCTGGTCCCCTGGGCTCGGCGTTCGAGGCCTTCATGGCCCGGCTACATCCCGCCTCCTGGCCCGACTCCTGCAGCCTTTCCCATATCAGCCGTGTTTCCACCACCATTTGTGGGACACACCAGACCTTTGCACCTGCCGTTCCCTCTGCCTGGAGGTCCCTTCCCCCTTTCTTTTTTTTTTGCATCTTACGGGTACGTTCATTCATGCCATGGAGGAAGCGGCACTTGTGCAAGTGTACGGTGCTGTTCCCCGTCCCCACCTAGCACAGCGTCTTACATTACAGCCAGACCGCCTCCGTCTGACGTGCGCACCAAGTGGAGCTGGTCAGTGGTGACTGCAAGCAGATGCAGGCCTCGAGGCTCCCAAAGCTTTCCTTCCTGTACCAGCACTCCTGATGTTGTAAATGCTGAAGCCCGTCAGCCCCATTCCTTCCCACATCTCCTGGTAAACATGGGTGTGGTAGGACTTCATGGGGACTCAAACATTTTTTTCTTTCTTTCTTTCTTTCTTTCTTTTTTTTTTTTGCTGAGGAAGATTGGTCCTGAGCTAACATCTGTTGGCAATCTTCCTCTTTTTGCTTGAGGAAGATTCACCCTGAGCTAACGTCTGTGTCCATCTTCCTCTATTTTGTATGTGGGTCACCGCCACAGCATGGCTGCTGACCAGTGGTATAGGTCCATGCCTGGGAAATGAACCCGGGCTGCTGAAGCGGAGTGCACCGAACTTAACCACTAGACCTCGGGGCAGGCCCCAAGACCCAAACATTTTTAATAAGGCTTTGAGGCATCTCGGTGCAGGATGAACGGCTCAGGCGGCTCCAAAGTCCCAGGGCCAACGACTTGGGAAGGTCCCCGAGGGAGCAGGCGCTGCGCCCCTGCCCCCTTTCTCCTGTGGGAGGTGTTGGGCTACGTCATTGGGACCCCGGCCCTGGCCCCGAGTTCTCTAGCATCAGTCAGTGCCCGTCGTAGTCTGTTGAAGCATCTCCCCTCCCCAGGAAGCAGGAGCCGTGACATCCCAGGCCCGTCTCACGCATGGCCGCCCGGTACTGGGCCTTCAATGTGGGTTGTGGAACCAGGGGAGACACAGATGCTGTCTCAACGTAAACGCTTATCGGATTCCTTCTTGGAAAGGAGAGGGGAAGACACGTGTGTGCCGGCCCCAGTCTCGAGGGTGTGGCAGACAGTAATCAGATCAGTCCCCAGCACACATCAGCGCGCCCCAGAACAACAGGGTCGGGAGGCCAGGGCGGGGTGTGCCGAGGGCAGGCGGCCTGCTCTGCGGATGGGGACCGGCCGAGGCTGGAGGGTGCGAGAGGCGAGCATTCTAGGCCGAAGGGCCAGAGTGTGCGAGACTTGGGGCTTGAGGGGCTAGAAGGCCTGGGGCTGGAAGGGAGGGCCTGGGGCTGGGGGGGCGCAGAGACAGCTGGGGGGTTGTCAGGGCCACGGACCGAGTTTATTCTCATCCCACAGTCAGTGGGAAGGTGTTGAAGGGTTTGGCCAGGGCAGTAATAGGGTCAGACTCCTAAAACACCCCAACCCCCTGACGTCCACATGGGGAAGGATAAGAGGAGAGAGAAGATGCTGGAATGCTAGGCAGTGGCCGTGGGAGACAGTCATAGGGTGGGGAGAGGTGTTTCCTATTTAGGACGGAAAACCAGCTCGGTGTGGGAGTGACGGCCTGTGGGGGTAGGAAGCAAGGGGCTTCCGTAGTTCCGGGACGCTGGGGTGGTGTTCACAGGGGTGGAGAAGTCTAGGAGGGGAACACGGGCCCAGCTGCCCACACTCGGTGTCTGCACCCTCCAGGGAAGGCTGGGTTCCAGAGTGAAGGGGAAGTGGGGTGTCTGTGAGGGCCCCTCTGCGCCTCCTCCCCTGCCACCCCCACGCTTGATCCAGGTCAAACCACGTGGGAGGAGGGGCTCTCCAAGGATGGCTGGTGGCGGTGAGCTCCAGCGCCTGCTGTCAGGGGGCTTCGGGCCGGGGAACATCTGGGCCCCAGCTGCCAGAGGCGGACCACCCTCGGGCTGGCAGCTGGCTGGGGGGCAAGTGGCCCAGCAGCCTGTGTCCCACAATGGCCAATAGGAATTTCACTCCTTCCCTTGGGGTCAGAGGGCTCTATGGGGGAGGGAGGTGTTTGCAGCGCCCTCTTGGGGACATGGGCGGTCCCTTGTCCCGAGACTGATGACCACTGTCTCCCGAGGCTGCCTGCTGCCTCGCCTCTGCTGGAGTGCTGGGGTGTAACCTGCCTTCACTGGGTCCCACGGAGGCCTGGTGAGGAAGCCCTGTGCCCCAAAGTGGAGAGAGCCCCGTGGGTTCTGGCAGTGGTCAGCGAGTCTTCAGCACCCACTGAGGGTGAGGGCAGAGCATGGAACCCAGCTTATGGGGAGCCCCCAAGTGGCCACAGAGATGTCTAGAAGCTCTGTGTCTGTATGGAGGGAGAGAACAGGGTTCAGATTCTAGCTCTGCCACTTAACGCTGTCACTTCATGGCCTGAGCCTCAGTTTCCTCGTCTGTGAAAAGGGAATAGTTACGGTCCCTCCCGCCGCAGCCGTGATGCTCCATCGAGATGTGAGCTAATTGCTTGGTGGGGGCCGGCACAGAGGACTGTGGAAGGAGCTGGAAACCACGGGCTTCCTCCAAGCACTCAGTCTGGCCACGTGGGACGGGGTGATGGCCCCATGGGGTCAGGCTCAGCGAGCACGCCGTGTAGCCCCAGAGCACTTCTTTGTTCCTGCCCAGTTCCACCTGCCTCCTGGCCCTGCGGGACGGTGCGCGGGGTGGGACACTGTTGGGGGCTCCCCTCAGAGACAGGCTCATTAGGGACTTGAGATAGCTGGGGCCATCGTCTGTCAGGAGCAGCCTCTTTCTCATCCCCTTAGACACAGGAGAACTGCACGAGGCAGCCTCCCTGGCCGCCCCCACCTCCCCCCGCCCACCCTGTGAGCTGGCCCACCCTCTCCCCGGGAGGCTGAGATGGCTTCCTGGGTCCCTCTCAGCTCCTCGCGGCAGAAGCCTTCAGTGGCAGCCTCGAGAACTCTGCCCTACTAACTGGTGGCCTCGGTTCCTGCATCTGTTAACTGGGGATGATGGGGGCTCATGAGGATCAGATGGGCTATACGTGTACAGAGCTCAGAACAGCCTCGCGTGGTCACTTCTCTGCTGTCCCCGCTCACATAGTAGGTGTCCAGTAAAACCCCATAACTGAGCGGTAGACTCAGGCTCGCCGAATGCAGGGGCCACCCGGTGCTAACCTCCCTCTGCTGGCGCTGACCCCGGCTTCCGGAACCCCCTCCTCCGTGTCCTTTCCCAGGTGCAAGTGTAACGGGCACGCCAGCGAGTGCAGCCCTGACGAGGCGGGCCGGCTGGCCTGCCGCTGCCAGCACAACACCACGGGCGCGGACTGCGAGCGCTGCCTGCCCTTCTTCCAGGACCGCCCATGGGCCCGGGGCACGGCTGAGGCCGCCAACGAGTGTCTGCGTGAGTGTCCTGGGGCTCTGGGGACCGGGGCCGGGGCCGCGGGCTGGGAAGCAGACTCCCCGAAACCTGGCCATGGGGCTGCTCCTGGGTGGGCTCAGCCCCCGTGCTGCTGCCGGGCTGAGGGAGAGCTGGAGGGGGCGTTGGGTCCTCCGTCCTTGCCCCCACAGACGGCTCCCACAGACAAGTCCCCGCAGTGGAGGCGTCCGTGGTGGGAGGGCTGGGAAGGCCCCCCGACTTGTTCCTTTGTTTCAACTGCTCCGACTGCAGCTGCTAATCAAAGCCAGGCTGCCCCAGGTCTTGGGGGGTGCCAACTTCCCCACCCAGCCTCTCCCACAGGCCCCCGGGCAGCCTTTGATGGCCCAGCTCCGCTGTGATGTGGCTTTGACCACCGAACCTCAGAGACACACTGGAGAGGATGGTGCCGTCCCGCCTTCTCCAGGGACGTGGGCTGCACACGGGGTGGCTGGGAGGATCCACTGCCTTCCCAGCCTGGTGTGCCAGCCCGCCCCAGCTGCCCACTGTCCCCAAGCCCTGCCCTGGCTCCCCAGATAGTCATCTGGCTTGCTTCCGGCTCCCCTTGTGTCACCAGCTGTCTCTGGGCGTGGGATCCCGGGCTCTGCTGCTGCTGGCGGGAGGAGCGTCTTCATGTGCAGGCGCCCCTGGCGGCTTGGCCTCTGGGCCACCGTCCTCTTGGGCCTGGGCTGCTGGCAGCTAGAGCTGGGATGGGGAGGGGACCGTCCGTTCCATGGGACTGTCTGCAGGAGCTGCCTGGGGCAGCTAATGGCTTCCTCCTGCCCTTGCTGGCCTGCCTCCACCAGGAAGTCCTCCTGGGCCAAGGAAGCTGTGCTGGCTGGCTCGCCCGTTCTGAGCCTGGGGCTGTCTCCATGGTGGGGATGCAAAAGGCCAGACTGCTTCTCCTGCCAGGTCCTCATCCCTGTGGTCACGTCTCTCTCTTCCCAGTCACCAGTCTGGAAGCCGGGGCTTCACGCCTGACCCCTTGCCGCCCCCAAGCCCAGGCAGCCCCTGAGCCCTGAATTCGGCCTCGTCCACATCCCTCCAACCCATCTGACTGTGTCCTTCTATGCAGCCAGTGCCTCGGTCCCGCCCGGTCACCCTCCTCTGGGCGCCCGAAGCTCCCTCTTCCCTGCTCTTCCAGCCTCCGGCCTCCTCCCTGCAGCCTGCGGTGCCTTCTGAGGTGCAGGCGCGATTCCACCCACGCCCCGCTTAACCCCCACCCCACCCCAAGGTGAAGTCCACTGACCCAGGCTGCGGCCTCCCTGGGTCAGGGTCCTCCCACCTCTTGACCTCATAGCCGCCCCTGCACCCTCCCCGTCTCGTCACCCTGCACAACGTCCCCACCCTCTTCCTTCTTCCCTGCCCGTCACTCAACATGCCAGCCTACCCGCCCCCCTGCACTGGGCGGGGCTTGCTTCTCTGGCCGTCCACTTTCTCCTCCAGCCCTCACCTCCTGCCTGGGACTCGCCCCCTCTCCTTCGCTGGCCAGCTCCTTCCTGCTCACCCTTCAGATTCGAGTGGATGAAGGGTGACTTGTATTTTCCATGCGTCTGTGTGACCTCATGGTCACTGGGGACCAGATTCACACAACTGTGGCTTGGAGGATCCACAAGAGATCTTGGAGTGAACCACACTGCCCCTCTAGAAGGTGGTCAGTCTATGATCCATGATCAGGTGGCTGTCCATCCTGGCTTGCCAGGGAGGGTCCTGTGTTTGGCCTACTTATTAATGGTGCCCCCTTTGCTCTTAAGAGTGTCCTGTATGGGAAGATTAATCGATTGGTCTCTATGTCCTTGATCGAGCTGGGCCTGAACTCCATCCCTGACCTTCCTCAAGCTGCCTGCTCATTCAGCGCAAGGAGGCTGATTGGCACAGACTCCCCTCCTACCACGTGCCACAGCCTCCCACACACGCCCTCCCCTGCCTCCTGCCCACAGCCTGCAACTGCAGCAGCCACTCGGAGGAGTGCACATTTGACCGGGAGCTCTTCCGCAGCACGGGCCACGGCGGGCGCTGCCTCCGCTGCCGTGACCACACGGCTGGGCCGCACTGTGAGCGCTGCCAGGAGAACTTCTATCGCTGGGACCGCCGGATGCCATGCCAGCCCTGTGACTGCCACCCAGCAGGTGAGTGGGCCTGCCGCCCAGCCCCCACCCTCGCCCTGATCCGGCCCCCGCTGCCCTGTGCCCTTGCCCCCCCAGGCTCCCTGCGCCTCCAGTGCGATGACTCGGGTACCTGCGTCTGCAAGCCCACGGTGACGGGCTGGAAGTGTGACCGCTGCCGGCCGGGGTTCCACTCACTCAGTGAGGGCGGCTGCAGGTGAGGGCAAAGGGGCGCGGGTGTGGGTAGCCCAGCGTGGGTGCATGGCGTGGATTTGGGCTGAATGATGGGACGCAGAGGGACGGGATATTAGTTGCCCCTCTCCTCCTCCCTCCCTTCCTTCCTTTATTCAGCATTTTCTTATTCTGCAGCTTCCACGCCCCACACCCAAGTGAGGACTAGAGACACCCAGTCCCCGGAGAGGCAGACAGGCGTGAACAGATGCGCATGAGACAGGGGGCGAGTCCTGTGGAGGCCCAGGCGGAATTAGGGGTCAAGGGCAGGCTTCCTGTAAGAGGCGCTGAGTTCTAGAGAGAGACCTGAGAAGTGAGGGCGAGACGTGCCGGGGAAGCTCCGTATGGATGAGCTGGGAGCGCAGGGTGGGAGGCTGTGCGGGGGAAGAGGCTCTGGTGGGGCCTCAGGGGAGCTGTGGACAGACATGAGCAGGAGTGGGAGGAGGTCAGAGGCTGGGGCAGAGGCTGCAGCAGGAACAGCTGGGAGCCGTGGCAGCCTGCACCAGGGTTTGGCCAGGGTGACACAGAACCAGACAGATTCCAGAGCCCCTCGGAAGGCAGAGCTGGCCGGAGGTGGTCACCAGGGAGCAGAAGAGGGAGAAGGGATGGAGGCTGACCCCTGGGGTTCTGTTTCAGGGGCCTGGGTGGAGGGAGGCCATTCATGGTGAGGGGAGAGGCTGAGTCTGCAGTGCTGGTGGGACATCCGAGGGGAGAGAGATGGGCCAGGAGCTCCTGGGGTCTGGACCTCCGAAGAAGGTTCTAACACAGTTACCATCACTTGATTGAGAATATACACAAAGACCAAAAAAATAAAGCTATTATAAATTCAGAAGCACCTTTAACTGAACTTGGCTTTGGTTAATTGCAACTGTCTCCTTGTGTCTTTGAAAGGCAGTGGAAATGCATTGTCCCCCAATGTGTGTGAGGCATCTCAGATCCCTTACAAAACAATCGGTGGTTCTAGGCACAAAACTGGACCTTAGACGGGGAGCTGGATGCTTCCTCAGGGTCTCTCTGGCCTCTGGGCCTTTGCACGTGCCATTCCCCCTACCCTGGAGCATTCTTTTCTCCCTCCCCCCTGCATCTTTCTGGCCTGTGTCTGGCAAACTTCCGCTTGTTCTTCAGTTCTCAGCCGGGTTATGGCTCCCCCAGGAAGTCTCCCTTTCTACGTGTCCCATTGCGCCCACCCTGAGCACCTTCTTGGTGCTGGCACAGCCTCTTGTACATCCCCTCCCATAGCACACGTCAAAGTTCAGGTCCCCCGTGTCCCTGTCCATCCTCACTGGACTGTAGGCTCCATGAGGGCAGGAACCATGTCTTGTCAGATGGTGAGTGGATGGAAGGATGGATGGAGGGAAAGAGAGAGGGATGGGTAGATGCGTGGGTGGGTGAGAGGAAGGGTGGATGGGTGGGACGATGGATAGAAAGATGGAAGGATGAACAAATGGATGGGTGAATGGAAGGATGCACAGGTGGATGGATGGATGGATGGATGCATGGATGGATGGGTGGATGGATGGCGAGTGGGTGGGTGGGTGGGTGAGCAGATGGATTGCTCTTCAGGTGAGTGGATGGGTCACTTCCTTGGCAAGGTAGGAACAGTAAAATGTGGGGGCTGGCTCTTGGGTCAGCCTTCCTCCTGGTCCTCTTGGGAACAGGGAGGGGTAGAGAGATTCCTTCCAAGGAGGATGGGCTGTTCCCACTCCGGAGTTGCCTGTTGGACTCCCTTCCCTTTGTCCTCTCTCTTCGGCAGACCCTGCACCTGCAATCCCGCTGGCAGCCTGGGCACCTGTGACCCCCGCAGTGGGCACTGCCCCTGCAAAGAGAATGTGGAAGGCAACCTGTGTGACAGGTGGGTGAGCAGATCCAATAACAAGCCTGCTGGAAGTGGCCTCAGGTTTGTGGTGGTGGGAGGAACAGGGGGCAGGTCTTCGTGGACTTGGGCAACCTCACCACCTGGCACCCTTCCTGGAGCATCATGGCTCTGCTGCCCAGGAGGTTATCTAAAGGTTCTGACACTTCGTACTCTGACCCACCACCACTGATGGTTCATAAACCGTGAGAAAATATATCTTTTTCTTTTACATCTTAGAAAGAGCTGGAAAGGATAAGAGAAATCATTTAATCCAAGGATAGCAAATACATGGGACTTGTATCACAACTCTCCCATCTCACACCCAGGGCAGACATCACTAATGGAGTACTACCACAGCCCTCCCATCTCACACCCAGGGCAGACATCACTAGTGGAGCACCAC